TTTCTGTTGCAACGTCGCAAAATCTAACCCGTATATTAATATTCTAATAGGGCGGCGTATGATGATGATCATAAATTAATCGAGTATCTTGCTGAAGTGTGCGGAAATCGCATAGTCGCACGGAGCATTTTAACGATAAACATGACGACTAGGAAAACGTCGTCGACATTATACTAGCATACCATGGGAGAGAATAGTGATTGTGGACTGGAATGTTCTTGATGGGTAATTATAAAATTTAAAACTTGTGAGTTTTCCCTTTCACACAACCTTATAATAACTGTTTATTATTTATGGTATCTTTCTCACACATACACGCGGACTAGTAGACGTCGGTCGATTCGCAGCAACATCAAACCATGAGGCTCATTTCCAGTCTTTTATGCCGATGGACATAGCTATGAAACGTTCTGAGAGAACGTTCAATTTCAGTTATTATATAAGCAACAATAATATGTGAATATCTTATCACCCTATGTAATACAAGTTTTCCTCCGATGAGATGACACATTACATATATCCTACAACCTGATTATATATTATCACCAACGTGTCCGCAATGAATATCATTGGAGAAGACTTCATACCGAGAGAATTTCGCTCCAACTGACATGCGTATCACGAGAGAAGTATAAGATTGGGACTATTCATTACACTTTCTGGGCTGCACATAATTTGGAATCAATTTCAGTTAAACATCATCTTCAAACGGACAGTTATTGTAAATTGTGACGCGTGATAACCATGAATCTCAAGATTTCGCAATCTATTATGGCATGACGGAACTGTGTAAATTAGAACATGATTTTTAGATTACGCGTACAAAAAAGGCAAAATCCTCTCCATACGAAAGTTTTTGAGCGTTGGACGAATTGGCTTTCTACTTTTGAGCCAACGCTCAATCGTGTATCTCGTCAGAAAAATAGAGTCTACAACTAATCATCATTGAGGTGCTAATGAGCCCGTTCTATATTAATACGTCTTCTTTTATGCATGTCCGTTAACGCTTTTCGATATCTTGTTGATTGTAAATGACTAGCTGCTACACATAAATCAATAATTTACTCCCCGATCAAAAAGACTTCCGATGTATATTAATATCGATTTTTCTTTAAATAGTTAAATAGCAATTAGGTGATTTATTAGCAGTATATCTCAGAATGGTGTTATAAACAGCTAATTTTGTTGGTAGTCGAAAATGGCAAAGCGCAGTTGATCATTATGAGGCATCGTATTAAGTTACGGGGAAAGCATACCATTGATTCTAGAATATTTATCTTAACGATGAACTACGTCTTAAATATCTGGGTTTTATGTCTTATACATTATGTGGTATACAATACAAACATTTTAATGGTTATTTTTCCCTTCTCCAATATAAGAAGGTTGGCGCGCATACTCTTATATTGGGACACTAATAAATTTTGTCGTAGATTAGATAATAAAAGTTCAATCTTGCTAGTGTTCAGCAACCTAATTAACGTATTTACAATAGTGGCAAATTGCTTGTGACTCAGCGAAGGGTTTTCTTTCTTTCTAATTTTATTATCTTGCATCGAACATTGTTTGCATTTATCAATGATTAAATGGAAGTTATGTTATTTACAGTTCGGCAAGCCACTGTCGAGATTAACTGTTGACACTAAAAATTTAGCCAATTTTGAGCGGAGTGACAGTTGGTTTACAGTAGCAGTCATAAAAATAAGTATCCTACCGCTCCGACACGTGTCTTACACGTCAGATTTGTCTCTACGTACTTTTTGAATGTGTGGTCGAATTAAAAAAAAATTCGGATATTATACTTGATAGTAAACGCCCATGCTATTAATCGACAGTATTATGTTGTAAGATTATTTATAACTGTGCAGTGGGGGTCACATAATAATTATCGAGCTGCCTTTGTATTTGGAGAACAAGTAAAAACAATTTCCAGATTTGGACTAAAAAGTGTCGAGATAAGAATTTTCGAATGTTTATTATTATGATCGAAACCGCAATGTAAATGTATTTGAGTAAGGTTTTGAGGTCTTTATTGGCACAACATGAGGTGACCCCTGATTTTCTGTGCTTGAGTAAAGTATTTTATGTTTGAAAATTTGCTATTACTATAGACATCAGGTCGAATTAAAATCTCACATTTATATACCTCAGTTGTATCTAATACACTGTTAAATGAGTCAATGCATCATTATATTGCTTTAGTTCCCACCTGCCCTAGAGAAAAAATTAAATGATTGAACTTTCTTTTGTTAGCCTTAATTTTAAACTTTGCAATTATAATTTCATGCTCAACATTGTAATTGACATTATAATTAACTGGATGATCTTACTATTACTATTACTCAATGCCAAAGTGTTATTGGTAACTATAGCACATATCAAGTGCATATGTATTGTATGAATTTATTAGTTATATTACTAACTTCCAAACTACAATGTTGTTAGTCTTCTAGCAATGTTCTAATCAAATCCAGATGTCACAAAATAACTGATTTCAGTGTATCAAGTGCATTGAACAAACTTCCCTCATACTCAGTGCATAAGTACTGTTTCTTCTGCATTGTTTCTTCAATCTCTGATATTCTATTAAATCAATCAATGCATTGTCATATTGTTTTCAGATAATGTTCTGTTAAAATCATTAGGCGACTGACTGATGGGTATCTGTCCATTGACTGTCATATATTTTGGCAAATTAAGATCCCGAGGCTTGATTTCATGTTCCAGATAGATATCTACTGATTTCAGTTTGTCTCAAGTTTGCCGAAACAAGCTCCCTTTTCATTCAGTGCATATGTATTATTTGGTTCAATCTCTAATGTTCAGTTTAATTGTAATTGACCAAAGCATTGTTATTGTCCTTTTCCACAATCCAAATTTCCCACTTGTATTGTATAATACAAATTGTTGACTTAATATTCCTATCCGCTGTAAACGGATCTAATTATAGGAGGCTTTGTGTGTGTGTGCGCGTGTGTGTGTGCGCAAGACGCACGATGTCCTTCACTTTACGTTCAGTGCATGTGTGTGTGTGCATGTGTGTGTGTGCGTGTGTGTGTGTGCATGTGTGTGTGTGCGTGTGTGTGTGTGCGTGTGTGTGTGCGTGCGCAAGACGCACGACGTCCTTCACTTTACGTTCAGTGCATGTGTGTGTGTGCATGTGTGCGTGTGTGCGTGCGCAAGACGCACGACGTCCTTCACAAATTCTAGGTGAGGTGAGTTTGTGTTGGGGAACAGCCAAATGCTGACATTCGTTGCTGTAAAGTCCTCAGATGCTGTTGCTCTTAACGTGTCTTCCACGTAATAACGTACCAAAAAAATTGCCCCATAGTTATGAGCAAATTGCAAGAAAGGAGGAGGAAAGGCTAAAGCGAAGCAGAACGTGATCCCGCATTTACAGTTTTATTATTATTGGCTGCCATACAAATTTGACCAATAGATCTGCTCCACCCCAAAAATGGTCACGTGTTAAAAAGTGACGTTGAATTTCAAAGGTCGCGCGTCGCATTCTTCCTGCATCAAGTATGCTGATCTCTTACGGTAAGAGAATAATTCCTGAGATGCAACGAGAAAGCAAGATGGTAAGGGCTCGATGAACAAAAGCTATGTTAATTTAAAATGCTACAATCACTCAGACTGACAGGAGGAGGAACCGGATACAAAACTGAAAGACATATCCGAACAGCATTGTATTATAGGCATACTTTACTCGGTCATCGATTACGAAGAATACAATGAACGACATGATGTGCCTTTGCATTCAAGGTGGTAAGAGAAGTGAAGATATGAAAGATTATATGTTGTGGGTATAATATATAAACCGAACATGTGCACTTACAATGCACGGGGCAAGGCTAATGTATGTAATTGTCTAATGTTATTAATATTAAAGGAATGACTGAAGCACCAATTATATATATTCGGGTTACCTTCCAATATATTGTATGACTGAGAAGAAATGATGAAATTGAAAAAAGGGCTTCAGTCTGACTTGATCGAGAAGATATTACTGTGAGATACGGATAGGTGAGTAAATCCATTCCGGCCGTATCAGAAACATTTGCAACTAAACTCAACATATATTAGTCGATAGTTCTACAGTGACGCATCAAGAGTGGTCTTTGATAATAATTATCGTTTTATTCTATAAATGTAGAAATTGCTGCAATGGTTAAAAGATTGTGAAATGGCCCTTATAAGCGGATGTGGTTACCTGTTTATGAAAGACATTCGAGACACACCATGTGTTGGATCTGTATCAGGAACCGACCTTTCGATTGACGGTACATAAGATAATCAACAATGCTTCGTGCATCTTTCAACCGAGGTGCGTGATTAAGTATGCCGAAATTAGATATAGGGTCCTTTACTGGAGATGCATATTATTGGTTGGTGTCTTGTTAAAATTGATTTTGTTTGTAATTTTATAGGACAAGCTTACGTGAGACTTTGGAGAAGCCATTAAAATCTGCTCTTTGGGAGGTTGTGATCTCTTGGCTTTTCGAGGAATCTTGCACCCGAGCTTCTATGGCACAAGCGGTCAGTCTAACACATTAGGTGATTGTGTATTCTGTCTATGCAACACTCTCACAATAGAGACGAAGAGCAATAGCTATACTGTGTTTTATGCGATTAACTATAATGTCTGCTTACTCCCCGTTTACAGGTAACATCCGACGTATGGACCTCTATAGACCACCACCTATTCAGATCACGCAAGGTCACACTGGCATGATCTTTATTTCTACGGGAACGATATGGATCTGTGAGATGTTATATAAACGCCTATCTATCGATTATGAAAATTCTAAGGCCTTAGAATTGGACGGCTTAAGAAAAACTGTGCGCGTACTCAAGTGACGCATATTTCCCATTAATAATAAACCATCGTTTGCTTTCTCGGCTTCTGTAACCTGTATAGGCCGGCCGGATTTGCTGAGAGAGATGAGCCGGTCGCGTGGTGGATTTTTATCACTCTATTGAGAGAATGGTTTGAGAGAAGAAAATAGACTCAACGTGAACAAACCAAACCTTTCGATGGACTACTTACCACGGCTGTCGTAAAAAAAGGTTAAAAAATTTGGCAATGTCTCAATTTCTTACAGTAGGAAATTGCAATCCTTTAAGATCATTACCTCCAGGACCAATTTCGCAAAACGGTTCTTTAAGTTCATTACGTCAAAATGAATTAAACCCAATACGAGTTCGCTGGGCTGATAAATTAACCTTGTACGTTTCGATCATACGGTGTTAATCAATGGGAAGAAAAAGTCATCCTCAAATGTCCTATACCATCGTCTTAGTGCACTTTCTTTTAAACAATAGGGGTGGTTCACTCAACTTGGGACTGATGGATTAAATACCAAAGATTGATATCTTTATTGACATTATGTGATCAAATTTAAAATTACTATTGGAAAAAAATACATGAATAAGAATACAATAATGATCTATCGGAACAGTACAAGTCCAAGCTGTTTATCAATCTGTCTTTTATAAGAAAATAATGGAACGAACAAGATGAACACCATTATCCTAGATTGATGTCCATAGTAAACGTCTTTGTCAAACCGGAGCCTCATTTTCATCTTCTCTACTCTGAGCTTCTTCATTTTCTTCTTTCCTGTGGACCACGAAATAAAAGACTTTATCCTTTTTGCCCGCGGCTGCATCGGAGTATTCCACATACAGTGCAGGATCAGACTTCGACCCGCGTTCGGAACTAAAATTAGAATCCCGCTGAGCAACCGTATGTTGGAAGTGAATACACTCAGCGGGATGAAAACCCCCGATTCGAAATTAGAATTAGAATCCCGCTGAGCAACCCTATGTTGGAAGTGAGTATACTCGGCGGGACCGAAGGACTTTTTCTATTACTTCTTCTACGAATGAACTTCTTCTATTACTTCTTTTCTTCTATTTACTTCTTCTATTACTTCTTGTTTTCGTCCACAAAATCTTCTATTTACTTCTTCATCTTCTATCACTTCTTCTTCTATCACTTCTTCTATTGCTTCTTTTGCTGCTTGAGCACTTTGCAGCATCCGAGCCGAAGCAGCACGTCGGAATCCTCGCTGAAAAAGGTATAAGTGTGTTCACCACTCAGCTTTGTCCTCCTGCTGAGTGGGATATTGCCGTATGCTGGGCCTCTGTGGGGAAGAGAGGACGGTAATAATTTATAATACCGTATATTGCCCTCAGAGAGCGTATTCGTCGGATTTGATAATCGACATAACTTTATTTGTAGCATGTTTGTCGTGTTATATTCCGTGAAGCGGTTGCGAATAGTGGAAGACGGTTGTCGTATCCTTTCGATATATGACATATTAGAGCAAAGGAAGTGATAATAATAAGACGTGAAGAAAAAAAGTCTTTGGGGTGGGGCATTGATTGCTTGCGTATCATATATGCTGTTACACGTACTACAAGGTGGGACTAACCGATCACTTCTATAAATAGGAAAGGCTAATGCGGAACGCACGACCGAAATGTGTGACAGGTTATGCCGAAGATGGTGGCGTGACCATCAATTGATCTGACTGTCCCCCTGAT